TATCTCTGCAAACTCAGCTTCAATCTCTCCAGGCTCCTACAAAAACAATCGAGCAGTTCCTCAATTAAAATGGGTTTTGTACATCTTCACAAGAAGCCAATTATGATAAACTATACAAGACCAAAATTAAAAACTTTCTCAAGTGTGCTCAAGAACAGTTAGATAACAAAGTTGTCTGATGCCATGAATGATTATTTAAGCTTCAGCTAAAATTATACTGTTACATAATCATTTCAGGTAGAACAGCTGGTCAAATTCGTAGCTACTAGCTAATTACTACCAAAAAGCCCAATCTAATCCATCCCAATCAAATAATCACTGCAAATAGTAAACAAAATATAAAATAGATGATAATCCAGTTCCTATACTACATGAAGGGTCGAAGATTTATTAGCATAACAATCAAAAGTCTAAAACTTGATGATTAAACACTTTGTGTAACAAAAGAAAAGATAGGTAAATTAAAAAAAAAAAACTGCAAATGCCTGATCTTTTCATACCTGTCAAATGATCCCTTCAAATAGTAAACATGGCTACAAAATCTACTAACATAATCCATGTAATCCAGAAAAGGCAAAAGATTTGCTAGAACAAGTTTACAATTTGACATCACAAAACAGTATGCAGTCAAGAAAGTAACTTTGATTCTGAAAATCAAGAACCCATCATTAAAATAACAATAAAACAACCTGGAATCTGATAATATAATAATCGTCACCATAAACAGCCTTCAAAGTCGCAATAACTTTCCTACTGGGATTCCTTGGATTAAACAAAACACTCAAGTTAACCATAGCTTTAACTCTATCCGGTCTAAACAAAGACAAATGCCAAGCTATCAAAGCACCCCAATCATGTCCCACAACAAAAACACTCTCTTGATTCGGAGCTACAACATCAAGCAACCCAATCAAATCACCAACCACGTGGAGAACGGTGTAACTTGTAACCTCAGCTGGCGCGTCTGTGTCACCATACCCTCTCAAGTCCGGTGCCACAGCTCTGTAGCCAAGTGAGGATAGAGCCTCAATCTGGTGTCTCCAGGAATACCATAGCTGAGGGAATCCATGGATGAAGAGAATAACTGGTGATTTCTCTGGACCTTTGATTGCTACATGAATGTTAATGCCATTGACATTAATGGTTCTGTGTTCTATGGAGGAGGCCATGGTTTCTGTGCTTGTGTTCAGAGTAGTGGGTTGGGGTTTTTATATTTAGGCTTTGCAAGATGACAGTTTAAACTTTAAAGTAGCTTGGGGAAACAACATGTAAACTATTTCTTCTAAATATATTCAATATCCAAAAACAATATGTGTAATGCATTAATTTTAATGGCAACAATTGACAGGCAAGTATATTAAAAAACATAAATAAAAGAAATATTATTAGTTTTTTAATACGATTGAGGAAAAAATATACTGTATAAGGGTATTTCCCCTTTGTTTTGCCCTTTTCTCTTGACAAAAAGAAAGGGCCATGTTGCGTTGTCGGATGAGATTTTTCCAGGCTTTCTATTTTGGAGAACGCCGTTGCTGCTTTCTATTTTGGATAGACGCAAAAGCTTACAAGTGGACCATCCATGCATTAACAGCCTTTCTATTTCCGTCGCTGTTGCCCCCGAGCATAAGATTCTATCGTGAGAGTCTACGCAATGGCATTTCTTTTATGAACACTTTTGTGTTCCGAAATTCTCACACAAAACTTGTTCATTGAGCAAGAATTATTATAATACATTGATGTTGTAGATTTCACAAGAGTAATTGTTCATGCTTTGCTATGGGTCATGCCAAAAAAATAATTTAACCATGAAAAGTTTGCATTCATTATTAATATTTTTTTCATTTGAAAATAAGATTTTAATTATAAACTCGAAATTTATTTTATACAAATAAGTTATTTTTTTAAATATATCTAGATGATAAAATCTTCAATCAACCCAATCTATCCTAGCAACCTAGCAACTCAGGATCATGGTATCAATCATAAAAATATATGCTATTAGAAAAACAATATGATAATGTTTTTTTGTTTAATTATCGATGAGTTATAAGCCAAACTTGCTAATATTATAAAAATATTATTATATTTTTATTTGAATACAAAGTAAAAATTGAACGGTATTTAATAAAATAACATTTAAAATATATTAGTAATTGATTTAAAAATTTAATAAATTAATATATTTTAAATTAATTAATTAATTGTAAAAAATAAAAATAAAAATTAATTAAAAACAAAAACCAGTCAAACATGAAACTTGACCTAAATTAAAAGGCCTAGACATGCCAGAGCTTTATTTATTATTATTCTTTTCACATGTTTATTATTATTCTTTTCACATGTTGGTTCACTCTTTTTTTTTATAATTAAATATGTTCTTTTTTTTTATAATTAAATACATGACATGTTATGGTTTATTATTATTCTTTTCACATTTTGGTTCACTCCTTTTTTTTATAATTAAATACGTGACATGTTACTTGTAGTGGTAGGTAACATGTCGTTTGATTTTGTCCAAAATCCTAGCAACCATTGTAGTAATTAGAAAATCAAGTGTAAGGTTTTTTTCTCTAAAATTCTTATTTTAATTTATTTTCATCCAAAAACATATAAAAACACACCATACAAACTAATGCAAACCACCCAATAACAGCACAATACCCCAAAATAACTAAAAAAATCAATTAAATCTCAAAAATTAAAACCAAACTTGATATACCGATTTCCCTATGTTTAAAGAGAAAAATTATTATCATCAAACTCCTTTTATAAAATAAAAAATTTTTTATACCAAACTTACTAAATTTTGATTGTCAGAATCATGACAACTAACAACTTTCTCTCTCAACTATTATTTTTCGATGGCTTCTCCCTCCTCTCTTAAATACATGAATTAAAAAATAGACAAAATAAAGTTTTTTTATCAAAATTTAACCATTTATTTTTTTCTATGTTTTATATTTTTGCTTTTATCTTTTAACATGATTTTTCTAATAATTTCAGCTAATTAGGTTATAGAAGAGTTCTATGAAAAAAATCAAAACTAAAAAAAAAAAAAACAAGTGTTTCATATAAATAATAGCCCACATCTAGTTGTTTTAACTTTTGTTATAATTTTATACAAGTGGATGACAAAATAATCAAGACAATAATAATTTTATAGGCAAACTCAAGTTTAAAAACAAATTTTAAAAGAATAAAAATTATATTTAAATTTTTTTTTTAACTAGTGTTATAAAACTCGATCCAATTTAGTGGGTCATTAATAATTGACTATATAAGTCAATCACCTAATTAAAACTTAGTTTGATTTAAATAAATATTTTAAATTCATATTATTGATGTGGGTTCAAATGAATGGTGGAAAAATATTTTTTTTTTTATTTGTGATTTAACCAAACTCACAACCCTTTTTTGATAAGATAACTTGTCATGAGCTTCACACCTCCTTCTTCCTTTATTACATTTTGCTTTTCATAGTTGTAGTGCATTTAAAATACCTTTTGGGAACATGTTTTTAAAAATTTTAAATTAATATTTTTAAATATTTTTAAATAATTTTAATATGTTAATATCAAAAATAATTTTTTAAAAATAATAAAAAATAATATTTTATTAATATATTTCTAAATAATTTTTTTTTAAAAAAAAAACAATCATAATTACACTTAAAATCACATTTTTAGAGCTTAAACGTGCTTTGCCTAGCATAGGCAAATAGATTGAAGCCATCGAATGAATTAAGTCGCCCGTGGTTGCCCTTTCGATAAAAATCCCAAACAATACACATACGATTTTAGTGCCTAATCTATTGTGAGGGAAAAACTAATTCTAGCTCTCACAATTTCAAGCTTTTAGGTCATTAAAGCTCATCGACTCTCTCTCTAAACGGCCCCCTCTCCATCTCAGTTATTATTCATTCACTCTCCATAGCATAGTTTTAAAATTCAAATCGATCCGACAGATCAATCTGGAATTTAGTTGATTTGAAATTAGAACCGATCTAGGTCTAAATAAAAACTTGTAAGGGAGTTGGTCTGCAAAAACTTAGTCAACCTCGACATACCTGGCTAAGACACGATCTCTCTCTCTCTATATATATATATAGCTGTAAAACGACGTTATTTTAACCTTTTAAAAAGCCAAAATTATGAAAATGAACTATACAGGAGTACAAATAAAAAAAAAAAAAAACCTAATTAAAAAAAAACAATTTCAATCATATGTCTCCTGTGTCCGTAATACACCTCCACCCCAAACACGGCGTCCCCTCCGGCTCTACCCTTATCGGCAGCCTGACGTGGCAGGACATTATTGATCTCGTTTGATCCTTTAATCTCCCCGTTAACTAAAGAGTTTTAGTCCTTGTCTATTTGCCTCCCTGACTGTCCGTCTCCAATCTATTCTCCTTCTACAGATTGCTACCAGATGTTAGTTCTTCTCTCATATCTTTTAACTCTCATATTTCTTTCTTAATTACTACTTTCTTTTTGATTTTCATGCTAAAAACCTAAATTAAAAATAAAAATAAACATTCCGAACTTGTTTGTGTTTGCTTTCCTGGAAACGTAGCAAAACCGAATTTATTTTCATGCAAATGATGGATTCAGCCCAGAAAAATTAATCTCTCTTGCTATTGAGAACGAATTTGATTAATTTCACAATTCTTTTTAAAATAATTAAACATTTGTTAAAATAAATTTACACCTTTGTTTTGGGTGGTAAACAATGAAAAATCAAACAAGCTCCTGAGTTTCAATTGAAAATCTTCATTTTTTTCCTGCTACCGAATAATGAAGGAAATGGCATTCGAAAAAATTCTCAATTTTGAACTATTTGTTGCTTTTTGTGGCTCAAAATGTGCGAATTCAGCTTACTGATTTTGAGCAAGATGTTCCATTGTATTTAGCTGTTATTTGTTTGTTCCTCTGCTTTTCTCCAATTGGCTGACTTATATCAGTAGGTCTTTTAAAACATGAGTAATCTGTGAATTATTTGTGTATATTTTGTTGGCAATTTGAATTGGGTGTTTGATGCTTGGTGCTCTGTTTTTTTTGGATTCTAGTTAAACAACTGGCATCAAACTTTCAGTTTGATTCAGTATGCTCAAAAAGAGTTCTTCAAAGAAACAACTAAATGCTGACACGAGTCTAAAAGTAATTTTTTTTTTTTTTTGAGTTTACGTGAGTCAACCCATTTTATTTGTGATCTGATTATTAGACTGGATCTACTATAAGATTGGATTTTTTTTGGGAAGTAAACAAGTAAAGCAATTTTTTTTTTATTTTTTTTATTTGACATGATCCGTGACCTGATTATTAAACTAGGTCGATTATCAGGTTGGCGGTTTTGAAAACATGCTCCATAGATTTAAAAAGGTTTATGCAAGAAAAGTTAATGGAGTTGTTTACCCTTACACTAATAATACTACGCTATGTTACTAATTATGTATATGGACAAATTAAAATACAAGGAAATGATAATTAAGGTGAAGGATACGAAATGAAAAATAGAAGATATGATGGAGAAAATATAATTCAACCACCCTGAGAAGCCATTACTTGTTTTTTTTTTTTTTAATTGGAAGGACCAATGGTTCTGTACTATATAATTGAAATAATAATTTCTTACCTTATTTATTTTTTAATATTTAAACTCGAGGCTAAATTTTTAGATCCTATTTGTTTTTGTTTTCAAAAATATTATTAAAAAAATAAAAATTATATTTTTATATTTATTACAAATTAATTTTTTTGTGATTTTAGATTATTTTAATGTGCAAATATTCAAAAGTAAAAAAATATTATTTTAATATATTTTTAAAATAAAAATATTTTAAAAATAATTATTAGCGCAGTACCCAACCGTAGTCTTAATGGATATCTCAAACATTAATTGTTAGGCTACCCTTGAAGGAAACGAATTGGACTAAGCTGGAAGAGGTAAACTAATTACTAATCTTGATTATTCTTGCAAAATCTTGATTATTCTTGCAAATATTAAAAATAAAGTTATAAAAATAAATTTATCTGGGAAAGGGAAAGGTAAGCTTTTAAATTGAAAAAGGTGTTCATATGTATAAATCCTAATACAAGCAGACCCTCACCCCTGAACAAAAATGGTGCTCATATTTTCTTCGACGCTCCTTTTACAAATTCAAACGCCGAGAGGAGCCATACATAAGACCATAGCAGAGTAGTGGATTACGCTCAAGAACAAGCATGCAAAGGCGAGAAGCATTAGTTCA